TTTACAGTGCGATTACTTTTGATTTTTGAATCATTTTTATGGACACATATTTTCTTAGAATGCCTGACTGACAATAAAGGAACTGTGTTGATACTGATAGTGTTTTGCCTTGCCCTTTTTTTACTGCATCTTCCCATGACATCATGATTTTCCTGCTCTCTTTTTGCTATTGGACTTTACTTTATGGCTGTACAAACCTGTGACATTACTCACAGCATTCATTGTTCTATCCCTTTCTTTTCCTTTTTTTGACAATCTTATCCTGTACTACCTACACAGGATTTGTCAGCGTACATTCCTTCCTTCATGTTCTTTCTCATTCTTTTTGCACAGCTATACTGTGCATAGCCTACTTTTCTTTCACTATATAAACCCCTGTATTTTACCTTGTAAAAAAAAAGGAACTCAAATCCAGACTTCTTCTCTACTCTCAAGTTCACTACTCTGCTACTTGTGATCCAGTGTGGTCACAACACTTCCCACTGCTACCACTGTCAACTGCTGTCATCGTCACTTCCCATTTTTGAAGTTATTGTTATCCCTTTCGATTAGAGTCCTTCTGAGCACTACAGTCTGTGCGTCAGGAGCCTGCTATCACTGGGAACCTCGTCACCTCGTCATCCTCATTGTTCTCAAACCTACCTTGTGCTACCATTAGCAAGGTAGTGCTCATGTATACTCATCACTAAGCCCCTATCTTCTATAAATTCAACTATCCCTCCTCCTCAAAACCCACACTCATACATCTCTGGGTTTTACTTTGAAGGATTGTTATACGTACCACCCCACAAACTACCAGACCACTCCACTGTTCTAGGAGGCAAAGCCCATAAACAAGTTCCCTGGAATCTGGGAGGATTGTGTGTTAGTTTGTTTTTGTGTGTGGTTTTCTAACAGCAGTTCTCATCATCAGCAACGTGGCACTATGCCTGTGTGGTGCAAAGGCAAGTCTTTTTGAATATTCTCTTCGTTATTGACACCTGTCCATGCTACCAATCAACTTTGGTGCATGACAGCGGCATTACATTCAACCATAAGGATATTTCACGGCACCATAGTATATACATCTACGTACAAGTTACACGCTGCGCACTAACCTCAAATCATCTGAACTGTTCCCTTGATACCCACAGAGTCAGTTTGCAATAGCTGGCACTTTGATTATCCAGCCAATCCTTGTTATAAAGTACCTTGGGAAGGGTACAAACTGGATTGCATTTTGTTAGCAGATTCTTGTTGCTCTGCCTTTGTTTGGCCGGCTTGGAACCTCACTGCAAGTAAAGGTTAACATCTTGCAATCTTGTATTATTGATAATTCCAAGCTCTTTCTCAATGTTTCTTTGCCAAAACATCACCTTCACCCTATATATTTTTTCCACCATTCCCTCGTCATCCCTCTCCACATTGCTCTCTTCTGAGCTCATAATGTCCTCTTCCAGACAATCAATCATGTCTTTCAGCCATTCCCATATTATAGTGTCTAGTGCACCGCTATGCTTCTTGGTTTTGATAACCATCTCCAATGTTTGTTTTCAACGTTTAAATTTCTATGAGATCTCAGTCAACTGTTCCCAAGAGCAAATAATGGGCTTACATTACTTTGTCTTTCCCTTTGTCTTGCTTGGTTCAACCTATCCTCCTGTTGTGTAATCAACCTCTTCTTAACTTCCTGCCATGTTTCCACTTCATCATTCAAATTGACTTGCCATTGAGCTGCTTTCCAGTACAATTTAACCCTATTAAATTTATCAATAATCAAATCTTCTGAATAGCTGTCTGGAGCTTCTGGAAGACACCATTTGTCTTTTGCTTGCTTCAGGTATTCAAGAAGATATTGGAATATCTTCTTGTTCCATTCAGAACCCATGTCTCCCCTCATATCAAAGTGTATGTCTTCTCTGTTGGGCCCAGTAGTGTTTTCATCACCTCTGTTATACGCAAGTACATCGCTTCTGACTGCAGAATTGTGTACAGCAAATTCTTTGTCCTGGCCAACATCAAACTTAGACTTGAACAAATGCCACAGCAGCCTCTATTTTATTGTAAGCTTTGTCCTAGGTTGTGTTGTATTCACTGACTGACCATATATTATATATGTAGCTCCTCACTATTTTTGAACTGTTTGATTTCTGCCGGTTTCTGTTTCTGTTGGCAGTAGTGTGGAGAACCACTCTGATTATGTAGGCTCTGTACACTCTGTGCAAGAGAGGCCAGACCGGGGAATGCCCAAAGCATTGCCACTTCCATCATGCTGATGAACCTTGCATCATCCTTGTTGTTCTCTGGGATTGACTCTCCTGGTCCGGGAGACAATGAAGGCCCTGTATTGGCATCAAGCCCCGGAGGTCCCTGTAACCCCTTTTCCTTTCATTGTGAGTGACAAATATACAATATTTACCCTTCTACTCACAACTTTGTGCGCTACCAATGTTGTTCTTGCAGATTGTCTATGATGCTTCCTCAATACACGAGTCATTACACGGCTTTGGGGAGTTGATTGAAAAGAGCGTGCAGTAGATTGTGGATCCATTACGTTGGAACCTTTGGTTGCTTCCTGGGTCTGACTACCACTATTGTGCATCTTGGAGGTGTTACTCAGGTCAGCATGCCTCGTCTTATTTCTCTTCTCCCCACATAAGTATGAATCTCTTAATGTGATAGGCAAGCAAGACAGTACCTCTTTCTGCACAAGCTGCTTGACACTTCAGGCAGCCAAAATTTTGAAGCTCTTAGCTTGATCATAATCTCCAAACCAATAGGGCTAGTAGCCCCCTGGAGCATGGTCTACCACGTCCTTTGGGACAACTACATAGGACATCCAAAAAGCCTAATAGAACATCCCATTGGACTATGTAGGATATCCCAATGGGACATCTGGGATAGACCAATGGTTCTACTTTCATTGGGATATCCTATTAATCACAAAGATGCCTGGGGTCCCTATAACAATTTATTCTATGGCAGATATGTGTTACTTACAAGTCTGATTGAAGATATAAATGGGTATATATTTCTATGCCATACACTTTATATTGTAAAGATGCAATAATTTTAATACATCTTACAAGCTATAGGATAGAAAGAACAATAATCTTTGTTTGTCTATTAATGCAAAGGGAAGGATTTACCATATCATCATGTGATCAAAGATACCTAAAATGATATTACTGTTTATTACAACCTTAAATTGGTCATACCATATATAATAGGACAAATATGCATTATTATGCCACATTCAGTAACAAGTTCAATTTATGATACTCTGAATTGGCTCCTGAGCTTTATGACCATAGTGATAATCATAAAATAGGTTTGTCCCTTATCAGCATACTCAACAAATACACAAATCAAACAAACCATGTGATGCAACACCAGATCTTAATAATATTATAACAGTATCTTACTTTTCATATATAACAATCTAAATCTTGAAAACTACTATTGAATTTTGACCTCATATTTGTCATTGTGTTACTGCAACAATAATCAACTGAACACATTTGGTGTGACAGTCACAAAGAGGTCAAGTCTAAATAATCTAAGATAGTGACAAGATGTTCCAAGGCAGAAACCAGTACATGGTGAACTGAGCCCAGACTAGGCCTATCTGGAATTTGGAATTTGTCACATGTCACAGACTACAGTGAACATGTCAATGTAGCATCATGTAATGTTGCAGCAGAGTGTGGATGAACCTGAGATCAAAATCCAGTAGTGCTATTGTGGACCTTTTGAGAATTGGCTTGGAATATTGCAGAAGGCATGCCTTAAAAGGAAGAGTTTTGTTTTGTTTTGTTTTGTTTTGTGACACATACAACTAGATATGGAGACTCCTTCTGAAGACCTGGGTTGGTGTTTTTCAGCCATCTTGTGTGACAAGCACATAATCTTAGTGAATTTCCCAAGACCCGCAGAAGTACCAAGCACAGGATCAGATCCTATGAAACAACAGTGGTTAGATTGGCTCATATATATCCACCCAATATGGAGGGAATTAGTTTTCACATACATCTCACAACCAAGCGTCATAAGCAATGGCAAGCATCTTAGTCATTGAAAATTAATAGATTTGATAGCTATGGTGCAGGATATATATTAGGATGTATGCAGACTTAGTTTCCCTGGAAAGATGATATTTGCATATACATACCACTGTAGCTGCCACTGGCAGCATTGGTGACTCTGCAGCTATATTCTGAAGAGTTTTGTTGTATGGACCCCAAACACCTCTATGATTAATGGATGAAATTTGGACCATTGGTCCATCTCAGATGTCCCATTGGGATATCCTACATAGTCCAATGGGATGTCCCATTAGGTTTTTTGGATGTCCCATGTAGTTGTACCATGCTCCAGGAGGCTACTAGCCCTGTTGGTTTGGAGATTATAATCAAGCTAAGAGCCCCAAAATTTTGGCTGCCTGAAGTGCTGCTTGAGCTTCTGTGAGATTGGCAACTGTAGCTGTCTTTTCTGCCTCCATCTGTGCTATGCCGAGCTTCAGTTGTTCTTCAGCCATTGCTCTCTCTTTATTAATTTTCCTCCTGTGCATCTACTCTTTTTCTAGCAATGCTTTGTTAAAATGTGCTTCAATAGCTATTCTCCATTCACTTTGGCCACTAGTTGTCCTGGCCTCTATATTTTCTATAATATTATTCATATGTTCTGCCATTTCTTCTCTTATTCGAGCCTACCTCTATGCATACCTTTCCTCTTGCTCTCGTAGCATGGAGATGAAGCCTGCCTCAAACTTAGCTTGGAGGTCTGTATGAACAGCTTGCATAGTTTGTGAATGGCGTCAAAGCTGCACAAATTCAAGAATGAAACACTCATATTCATTGCGTTAGGACATACCTTGGCTTCTAAACACCTTTTATCACTGACAGCATCCTTTTACAGTTTTACGCAAGCAAGCCCAGAGGATATCAAATTGGTCTACTTTGTAAAAGATCCTCTTTGTATTTGGGGATGGCTGTAATATATCCAGTGTAATAGGATCATCCTACCAACATCTTTAGCACACAAATACCTTGAGGCATAAAACAAAATCATTACATCTGGTTGCACAGACAGCATAATATTTGTCACTGCACTGCTGGATGTTGAGTAGCCCTTGATGGCTGCTACTATCAATGAAATCATTCTTGACATCACATTAGTTCCAGATTTTGATTTTGAATGGGAGAAAACTTACCTGTAAGTTTGCCATTAAATTATCCTGTATTTCTTGCTTATCCTCAAAGTCAAAGTCATCGCATATCCTCAACTGTAATAAAGAGTCTCCAACTTGCTGGTTGAGGGTTTGGTGCATCTTATGAGAGGTTATTGAGTACAGTTTGCAGTGGTCATTTGCTTCAAATACATGTTTAAATACTATTTCTCTCCAATGCTTAGGTGGCTAAAATAATATTGGTATGTTTTGAGTATTAGTGTTCAACAAACAAAAGAGCATGTGATATTGTGTCTGTTTGTCCTATTTACCAAGGGGAAAAATAAAAGTGAACAATAAAGCAGTAGCATCTGGTGATTGCTTGTGACTGATATAGAGAATGCGGGTCTAAACTCACAACGGATGGATAAAAACAAAAAATGGTGTGTCTACGACAGAACAAGGAACAATAGCTCACTTTTGTTAGTATCATTTCCTGTCCTCTCCCAGCGCAACAAGTGCAAAGATTCAAATGCTCCATCTCACAGGTGTGCACCATCATTGTCAATCCCACCACTGTACCTAACTAAACGCAATGCCTAACCATTGTGTATTCCAGCCACCGACCCAAGATGTGAGTAGATGCAACTGAATATATTTCAGTATCTCTTACTGACAAACCCTAGACGTCTGAAATACAGCTTAGGTGCTGTCTTTATACAACAATGCATTATAAACCCTGTTACGATAAACACTATTTTTGGACCTTTCCTTTGATTTTCATTCTCTGCTTTAACCTTTTACTATAGTTCACACTCCGTGCCATGAGGCACTTTTAACTCCACCTTCTCGTGCAGCGCAGCCTTTATTCTTCTTTTAGACACAAACTCTCTCACACAGTGGAGCTGGTCACACGGGCTGCACCCTCTGACATCATCAGCCACTAATTTTATCAACTATACAGTACATAGGTACAAACACTCTGTATTAGTATAAATACCCCAATAGATCAAGGAGACTCCTCAGCGAGTCCTCCTGTTGTATACCAACAAACTCTCTGCAGCTTAAGGGGTAACCACTCCCTCATCACTACCTTTATAGTGTGTTCTTGTGTGCGCCAGAGTAACTAAGTCTTGGTTGTTACAAACCCTGTCTTGCCAAGATCACCACCTGTACCGCAAGTTCAGCCCAACACCCTGATAGATACCCTTATGCCAAATTGATGCTTGGGGATGTAACTATGCATCCTTATATCCATGATTGCGTGGTTCATGTTTATGAAGGCCACTATCTATATTGGTTCACCATATTTTTCAAACGGCACTGTGTATAGTTCATCGGAAACAAGGAGTGTATTTAGCCAGCGATGAAATGTATCCAGTGGGTATGTGGCAGTAGGGTATGTAATGTTAGACTGGTGAAAGAGATAAAAGTAGGCGCACCTATCTGACATCAGTTTGGTGGTGTTGACAATATTGGTTTGTTCACGGAGGTGGTGCACCCATTGTGCTTCTGTGAGTACCTGTGGTTCAGTGAGGTAAGGAGGGAAGTGGGGAGGAAGGGTTTGTTGGTCAATGGGGGTGGTTTGGGACATGGTTGTTATTTTGGTAAGAGTGTGTAGGAGGGGATCCTGTTTGTATGCTTCACAATTTGTGTCTCTTTTTATATTTGCTCAGGATCTCGGATGCATTCTGTAGGTTTGCTTTTTCTTCCCATGAGTTTTTGGCCGATGGGTAATCCTTCTATTTGACTAAATATAGGTATCCCAATCTATTCTTTTTGTTGTATAGAATGGTTTCTACTTTGTATTCTTCTTGATCATTGATTATCTCTGCCGGTGGTCTTATGTAGTTTTCTCCATGGACTTTGGTTTGTTTGTACTGGGTCAGAAGAGTGGCGTGGAATATGGGATGGATTTTCCACGTGTCTGGGAGTTCTAGTCAGTAGTGAACCAGTGATACTTTTTCGAGGATGATAAATGGTCCTTCTCTTTTCCAACTGAACTTTTGATAGGGTGTTCCTTTCTTCTTTAGGTTAGTTGTTTCTAACCAAACCTTTTGTCCAATTGTAAACATGGGTAACAGATGAGTATTTTTACATGCGTGTTCGCTAGTTCGTGAGCTTGTAAGGCTACGGTCCTGGCTTTGAGGAGGTTGGATTGTCTTTTGTTTACTGCCGGTATGTTGGTTGTTATTGGCATTGTGGGGAGATCCCTAGGGTGGTATCCCATCATGAGGTAGAATGGGGATCCGTTTTGTGCCAAATGTGGTCTATAATTGTGGCAGAATTCTGCTGTTGTGAGATATTCTGTCCAATTGTGTGGTAAATTGTTGCAGAACATCTGTAAGTACATTTCTATCTCCTGGTTTACCCTTTCAGTTTCTCCGTCTGATTGGGGGTGATATGCGGTTAAAAGGTTAACTCCGTCTAGCCAA